AAATAGTAAAACTTAACAATAAATAATGTGTATGAATCTGGAACAGTAGATTTATGTACAGATTTGTGCATTATTTACTCTATAAAGAACTTTATAAATAAAGAGATATGCATATGTATTTACATAATACTCGAGAAAGAGGCAATAATTAAGGATGTAGAATGAATTACGGAAATGAATTACAAAACACAGATAATAATTCATGTGTTGGCTGTTTAAGCTGGAGATGGCATGGGGGAAAAAACTGTTTTTATGCCTAGATGTTCTAGTGCACAGAGATCTGTAGCGTCTGCCTAAAGGAAGAAGTGCAAACAGGTTGTGTCCAGGGTGAGAGGGGTCTTTGATGATGTTACCTGCCCGTTTCTTCACTCTGGAGTTGTCCTGAAGACTGGGCAGGTGCACGCCAATGATCCTTTCTGCTGTCCTAACAGTCTGTTGCAGTCTTCTTGTATATGATTTGCTGGCTGACCAAACCAGACAGTTATTGAAGAGCACAGAACCGACTCAATAACAGCTGAGTAAAACTGTGTCACATTAAGTCCTGTGATTTTTGGTTTCTTGGGTACAGGGATGATGGTGGAACATTTGAAGCAGGAGGGGACTACACACAGCTCCAGGGATCTGTTGAAGATTAATGTGAAGATGGATGATAGCTGGACAGCACAGGCTTTGAGGCTTTTTCCGCTGCTTATTCCATTATTAGTGGCAAAAATATAAAGTCAGAGCAGCCAGAGACCGTTTGTTTAGGGATTAATTGGATTTGGATGCAGTTGGGTGATCTAATTTGATATTGGCAGACTGACATTGTGACATATTTTGAGAATAAGATGGTGCCAGACCAACGAAAAGTTCTGTAAATGTTCTACATTCAAAGGAAACATATTTTGGAAAATCACATCTCTGATGCTGTGTTACTTGTTTTCTATGGCAGTGTGGTCACACTATTATTATTACAGAAACAGTCCCTTATTGCTCTTGATATAATGGTTAATCTATTCATTAAATTAAATATAAGTATCATCACTGGTTTGTTAATTCAAATTAATTTTTCAGTAGGGAGTTGACTAGTCAACTAAATGTAACTGCAGCTGCTAGTTGACATTGGAAATACTAGTCGAAATGTAGTCATTTTAATGTGGGAGAACTACATTTTTTCATTTCAAGTCAGGCTCAGTGAAATGTCCGCTTGGAAGACGAGCAAGGTGTGGGAATGTATTTAGCGGTTCAAAGGGGGAAAAATTATGAATGAACGGGAACTGACTTCAGAAAGGTTTCGTTGACACTCAACCATGTTATCTGCATATAATGCATAATAAAATAGTGTTTATATGCACAGTGCTGCTTTGTTTATAGGGGTAACCATGGTTAAGCACTGTATTTCTGCTTGTCCAAAAGCGCCACCTACTGTCAGAGAGTGAATTTGCATTTTCATTCGTCCCATCTGCTGCTTTTGTTGCCGCCAGTGTTGTAAATTTTAACAGTTTGATGGGAAATAAAATAAATTCAGATAATAAGATTACGTAAGAAATAACTGACGATGGGCTGTTGAATTATTAGAAAATAGTGCACATCCATGATGCGGCCACGACGCGAAGCATCAGCATCTTTCCTGAAGCTCGGGTGTGCAATGTTTTCTAATAATTCAACAGACCGGAGTCAGTTATTCTGCTTATACTATGGTAACCGCACCTCAAATGTTGTTCAGATGTTGTATTCCAAGACATTTCTCAGGTTTTTGTCCTTAAATGAGAGAGAGAGAGAGAAATTAATCTGTGTGTCTTTGCGTCTCTCAACAGTGTTGGGCAGCAGCAATTTCTACTAATAGTGAAACTAGGGCTGGGCGATATAGCTAAAAAATGTATCAACGATATAATGTTTCATATCGTTTGGTATCGATAATTATTGATATTTTTTATAACCTTTTTTAAAACAAAAAGCAATAGAAAAATATTTTCATTTAACCACTGTATTTATAATTAATACAATTTATTGAGACAAACAACAAATATTTGTTGTTTTAACAATCAAACACAATAAAAATTAAATAAATATCTAATTTCTAATGTTTTATATGCAGATTAAATAGGTCTTTATTGTATAGGTCTAATTGTCTCCCGAGGCCACAGGAGGGCGCAATGAGCAAAATAATGCAGCGCATTTAGCAAGTAACTCTATAAAAACGTGCATTACGTCTAAGTTAACTCATAAAAATCAAATATAATTCCGTAAATTGCATAAACAATTATGAACAAAACAGCATCATGTATTTATGCATTGCTTAATCCAAAGAGCCGAAGCGCCATTCACACAGACTGCATTTAAAAACATGTGAGACGCAGAGAAAAGGAATAAACCTCCACAAATTCGTGATGTGTTTTCTAAAAGTTTAAACTGTTTTAACTTTGCATGGCTTTCTATACATCTCTTCTGTGAGACGCGAGTGCAGCAGTCATATTTGTCCGTCTAAAAAATGCGCTTTTATTTTAAGTTCGACTAATATTCATTCTTTATTCACAATCTCCTCATCACAGGCAGGCACAGCACTCATTTCAGCATGTGTTCGTGCTTGTGTGTGCTGTCTGCGTCACTCATAGTACGTGCCTATATCGTGCGCTATATCGAACATTTTTTCTATCGATATCGAAGAAGGTGTACCGTCGATAAATATCGATACCGTTTTATCGCCCAGGCCTAAGTGAAACTGTATGTTCATCTGTTTCAAGAACAGCGCCGTTGTTACATCGCTTGTGAGGAATGACATGTAGCTTTTAAGTTATTGAGCTGTTTTACTGATAAATTGGTCAGAGCAGCGCTGACAACACGTTTCTGTGTGTGTGTACTATATGTGTGTGCGTTTGTAAGGGAGAGAGAGCGGGAGAAATAGAGTGTGTGCTTTCCGTATATAATAAAATGTAACTTTGTGGCAAAAACATGGAAATATGTCATTTTTATGCTGTTTACTACATTTATTTGCTTGGTCAATGTCGTTGTGGGTTTGACTGTCTTCTGAGGGTTTCTTACTTTTAGACTAGTCGACTACAAAATTTCTGTTTAAATGGCAATGAAATTAGTCGTAGCGCACATCCATAGTTTTCAAACAATGTCACTTTCTCCTATCCGCCACTGATCAGACAAACAGATAATCTTGGTTAGGACATGTGTAAGACTAAACCGGATCCCCTGTAATCACTCTGTCTCTGTCCTGCAGTGTCGGGGCCGAGGAAGGAGGAGGCAGATTCTGGGAGGAGCTCCGCCACGTCGGTCTGCCGGATGACATTGATGTCCGAACACTCTTTGATGAGTCGGGTAAAAACCTGTTAAAAACTTTACCTAGGCACAGACAGAGAAAAGCTAACAATAGAAAATACTGTAATTTAGAGTGTTTCTGGAAAGAAATCAAAGGTTTTCTTTCTCATATCAAGCTGTTGAAATTTCTTTTAATATGTTCAATTGACTTTTTCCACTGATTGTACAGAGAATGATTTAATGAAGATAAAAAAAACACAGCCTGAAGGCTTTGGTCAGGAACCAGCCTGAAACTAGACAGTGTAGTCAGACACATCACACTTATTTGAGGTGAGGAACTGAAATTGTTAGAACAGTAAAATGAACTTGAATGGCTGTTCTGCCTGTAACTATCTTTACTATGCTGGTCAAACCCATGTGACTTTCTGTCTTCTGTAAAACGCTAAATGAGAGCTTAGGTAGCATGTCCCCTTTTGTGTTAAACAGAAGAAAGAATGTAATGTATGATTGAAAAGAAATGAAGAGATTTAGCTTTAAAGGTCCCATGCCATCTTCTGATTCCTTGTGTTTGCAGGTCAGTGCTGGGCTCATCAAAGCTGCGCGTTGTGGTCAAATGTTGTGCGTCAAGCGGAGGATCAATCACTGCTAAATGTGGACAAAGCCATCCACTCAGGGAGCACAGAGGTATGCTGGGATATCTTTGGTTTAGCTGACGTGTATCTTGGCTGAAGCATGTGAGGACTCGTGAATAAAGTAATGACTGTAAATTTTATGTAAATATTACTTCACCTCACTGAAGTACTTGAAAGGTTATGCAAATGAGGGTTAAAATGCTGGCTGCATCAAAATGCATTTTTTTTTTCTTTTGCTGAGTGACCATAATGTGTCTGTATTTTTATTTTATCCACAACAGTTATTATTATCTTTCCTGAAGCTTTTTAAAGATTTTGTCTTTTATGGCTTCCATCAGAATATGTTGTGTTTTTTATGTTGGTCCTAATTATCTGCTGATGTTGCAGTGTTTTTTTTTGTTTGTTTAATCGACAATTTTATTGGTCAATTTTTGGATATTCAACTGTTTTAGACTTTATCTTTTATGTTTAGAACGTAATTTTATGCTAACTTAGTTAACTTTTTAAAAACACTAATAATTTAATAAGTAAATTTTATTTATAGAGCACATTTAAATTCAGCTTACACTGACCAAAGTGCTGTACAAAACAATCATAAAATACAGTAAAGTATAAAATAAAATTTAAATTAAAATCCAAGATAACAATACGAATCCATAAATTAAAAATCAGGAAAGACCATAGAATAAAGATGCGTTTTAAGTCTAGACTTAAAAACCGAAATAGACGGAGCACTCTTAATGTCAGGTGGCAACTGATTCCATAACCGTGGAGCAGCTACTGCAAAGGCTCTGTCACCTTTAAACTTAAGGCGTGACCGTGTGACATATAAAAGAGCTTTATTAGCAGATCTGAGGGACTTAGGAGCAGAATTAAATGAGATAAGATCAGAAATGTATGATGGGGCTTGTCTATTAAGTGCTTTAAAAATAATCAACAAAATTTTGGAAGCAGGAAGCCAGTGGAGCGACGCTAAAATTGGAGTGATATGATCACGTTTTTTGCACCAGTTAACAATCTGGCCGCTGCATTCTGGACCATCTGTAAACAAGCCAGTGAAGATTGGGGAAGACCTAGGTATAAGGAATTACAGTAGTCCAATAATAATGTGATAAATGCATGAATAACTTTTTCCAAGTCTTGAAAGGAAAGTGTTGATTTAAGTCTATAAATGATTCTCAATTGATAATAGCTGTTTTTAACAACTGAGCTAATTTGCTTTTCAAGACAAAGCTCAGAGTCAAAAATAACACCTACATTTTTTGCATGTGACTTAACATATGGAGTGAGACTGTCTAAGTTACTAACTATAGAGTTTCTGGTTTTAGAGGGACCAAAAATAATCACCTCAGTTTTTTAATTATTTAGCTGGAGGAAATGATTCGCCATCCAGATTTGAATGTCCTTCAGACAGTCCATAAGGGGCTGCAGAGAATGTTTCGATTTTAATGGAACATATAACTGAGAATCATCAGCGTAGAAATGAAAAGAGATTTTATATTTCCTAATTATATTACCAAGTGGAAGCATGTACAGATTAAAAAGTAATGGCCCCAGAATGGACCCTTGAGGAACCCCACAAGGGAGAGAAACTGATGATGAGGAAAACTGGCCGGTAGCCACTGGAAGTGTCCTGGATTTAAGATATGACTTAAACCACGATAATGTTGTATCCTTAATACCTACCCAATGTTCAAGGCGTGACAAAAGGATGCCGTGATCAACTGTGTCAAAAGCGGCACTTAAATCCATCAAAATCAAAACTGCATTTTCACCACAGTCAACCGCAAGTAGCAAATCATTCATCACTTTTAGCAAAGCTAAAACTTAAATGTAATCTTTAGCAAATTTCAAAATTAATTTTTTGATGATGAAAAGTAAATTCAATTTAAAACTACTAACTTTAGTTTTTAGTGCTTTATTTTTAATGTATTTAGACTAAAACAGTAAAGATTTGTTCACCATTTATTGGTTATTGGCAATAACATGTAATGAATTATTGTCTTATCAGTTTCAACCAAAATTTTAATATTGGTGCATATAAACGAGCAATTCAGTGATAATCTAAGCCCATAAATCCCATATATTAAATGTATTACAGGTAATTTTAAAATGTAGCCTAATTGTTTTAGTGTAATTTATACACTATTATTTTATTTTTATAGTATTTTTTATTATTTTAAAATTAGCTTATATATTTGTATTTTTCATTTTAATTTTATTTTTTTATGTTATGTTTGCTTTTTATGTTTTTATATTATTATTATTTATTATTTTTATTTTATTTGTACTGATTTTAGTATCTTTAACTCATTTTATTGTTTAAAATTAGTCAGTTGCCAAGGCAACATTTCTAAATAAAATTTTTATATTTGATTTTATTTCAGCATTATTTTATTTAACAAAAACAATTTTAATAGTTTTAGTTAATAACAACACTGGTAATTTTATAATACTTAATGATTTTTGTTGATTTTGTTGAATTTAATTTAGTTTTATATATTACATAACTATTTTTGGATAATCTAGTTAATTAAATATTTTACAAATGAAATGCATTCACCCCAAATTATTTCATTATTATTTACAAATGAATGTAGACTATTTCTACATTCTACCATCTATACATTTCCATGTATATACCGTATTTCTGCCCAGGCCTAATTTTTAGTTTATTTCTTGCTCTTGTTTAATGTCACTCTGATGACACCTGATAGGGTTCTAGGGCTCTTCATATACCTGCTGACTCGTACGGCCATGCTGCTGTGTTTCTGTGAAAGGCTAGAGCTGGAGGAGGAATCTAACTGGCTGCTAAAGGTCGCCGCTGATCAGCTGTGAAATAGAAAAGGTCACGGCACTCAAAGGGCCTGCGGCGTCATCGGCTTCATCACTTAACACCCCCCCGTGCCGCGACCATCTCCTATCACATTCCTTAATAGTGCTCTGCTGTTTGATCTCGTAAATTAACAGCAATGCTGCATTTAATAGTAAATGCCAGTTCAGAGCTGGAGAAATACGTTCGTATAGGTGGCTCATCTGATTGACATTTCCTGAGTGGAATCGCCCTTAGATGAATGTGCGTAAATCATGCGATGCTCCATTTGACCGCACGCCTTATCGCAATCCATTTGCTGTAGGTGCGAAACGAAATGCTCAGTTAACGAGATGCAGAGAACAGCTGTAAACATGAGGGCTGACGGCGTGTCACGTCTGGACTCTTCCAGTCGCGGTGTTGCTTGACTTTTAGCGGACAGCTGGTTTCTGAGCAGCTCATTAAACAGAACGATGGACAGAGACGCAGAACAGATCGATTCGAATAGGAAAGGGAACGTTGGCCTAGTGCTGGTATTCAGAGGGAAATATGTACCTGTTTTCAGGAAGCTGTTACGGGTTACAGTTATAATTAATGCTAAATGGAACCTAACATTAGGGAAGAGTACAATTAGATCACCTGACCCACGAAATAACCTGTCATGTCTTTGTTACTCAGTTCACCTGGCGCGTGATTTGAGATGTGTGAGGAATTACATGCTTTTGCTTTCCCTGAATATTTATTAGGAATTGTCTAACTAGTAGTACAGGTTTGAACGATCATGTAATTCGCAGCGAGGACACGGTGACAGTTGTTTTTGTAAACAGCAGTTATTATTTCACAATTCTTGTGGGTTGTTGGAGGTCTCGCGAGCTCCAGCTGCTGGTTTTTGGCAGTGGTCGTTGAGGGCTGCGGGCAGATGCTGGTGCTTGATGAAGGTATATGTGATTATTCTGAGTAATGTTGTCAAAAATGTAGATTTTTCTATACATATTGGTTATGAATATTCAAAACTGTTTTAATACTCATTTTCCAAGTACTGATGCACCATTACCAGCTGCGCTATCTTGTTCTTCTCTCAGACTTAAAGTTGACACACTGTAGTGTATTTTAATCAATCAATTTCCTCTCTTTTTTTGTGGATTTGTTTGTTTGGCTTAAAAAAAATTAACTTAAATGATTTTAGCAAATGGCTGCAATATAACAAAGAGTGAAAATTTTAAGGGGGTCTGAATACTTTCCGTACCCACTGTATATTTAAGTTTGAGTGATTTTGGTACATCATCTATGTTTTATTTTATTTCAGTTTTTAATTTAATATTAATATTTTTATTTTAAACTATTTCACTAGTTTTAGTAAATGATAACACTGGCAAATTTTTTATAGTAATTTATGAATTAATGATTTTGTTTTATATATTGCATAATTACGTCATAATTACTTTTAATGTATAACAGATTACAGTATTTTTTCCAAATTTGTAATCTTGTTATCACAGACAATTAAAAGTATTTTCCGCCAAAATAAACGCTTGAAGGATTAACTATTGAAATCAAGTCATAAGTATTTGTAATTTTACTAATATAAATTGAAATAATTAATATATGTATTTTTAAATATTAAAATGTGATTATTATTATTATCATATAATCCCACTCAGAGCTATCAGACATGAAGAATCTCAGACAGCAGAGTTTTAGTTGTTAAGAAAATACTTTGAATATGGTGAAAAGTAAAGTTACCCAGATACTATTCAGATTTTATGCCCCTAATGTCATGGCAATCTTTTACTTGTGGTTTTGAAAATGGTATTGAATAATGGTATTTTTCGAGACTAGCTGAGAGTTTAAGCATGATGAAAAGTTTGGTGAGAATAAAATTATGATGAGAGTTCGATTGTGTTGAAAAGTATGATGAGAGGGATAGTTCACCCAAATGAAAATTCACTTAATTGCTGATAACATTGTTTTATTTGTACATGCTGCATTGTTTTGACTCCCAGTTCACAAAAGGAATTATGCAAATCTGTATAAAGGCCTCCCAAAAGATCCCACACCCCCAAATGAGTGTTTCACAGTGCATTTCCCAGTTTGCAGGCTGGTTCTGAGCACATTTCTGTGGAAGATTCAGCAGATTACTGCAGTCTGCTGTACTTTACTGTGACTGTATCATTCTCACTCACACACCTGAATCTGCTCGTTCATACGCAGAAAGTGCACTTGACTTTGCACATCTAGATGACAATAACTTCATTTCAATACATGGCGCTGAGATACTGCGCACAATAGTGGCGCAACCGTTTCGTGAATTGGCCCCTCTCGTCTATGGTCTGTGGGCGCTTACAGGCATGATTGGATAATTACACATCCGTCAGTCTGTCATCATTGTGGTTTATGTCACAGCTCTCCCTAGCTGTTAGTCTGACCACAGGCATTACACTGTCAGCTTTCATGTCTCATTGTATAGATTTGTTTGGTTTAATATTAGTTGTCAGACATTTAATCTTGAATGTTAATTATGTGATGAGCAGTTAATGCATGTAAGGTTTTAGTTAAGGACTATAGACCGTGTTAAAATAATTGATGGCCCTCTTTTAACATGTTTTAGCATCAGAACTGGAGTCTGCATTGTTAGTGTCTCATCAATTATGACTCTTTTCTTTTATAGCATTGTGCATATTGTAAGCGCCTTGGAGCATCCATCAAGTGCTGTGAGGAGGGGTGTGATCGCTCGTACCATTACCCCTGCGCGGGGGCCGCCGGCACCGTTCAGGACTTCAGGAGGCGCTCTGTCCTGTGCACAGAGCACATTGAGCTGGCCGTCAGCAAATGTGAGAACCGTCTTTATTATTTGCTCTTATAAAATTTATTTTATGCACTCGTTCAAAGCAAGACCTTGACGTACTATAAAAACATACTGTAACTTTCAGACTCCAATTCCCAGTTCAAAAAGAGCATTGACTGAAACTCAGCCGCAAAATCAACTTATTCTAACTCATTATCATACAATGCCATTCAAAAGTTCAAAAGAGGCTCAAGGCTTTTTTTTTTTTTGTTGTTAAAAAAAATACAGCAAAACAGTCATATTGTGAAATATTATTACAACTTAAAGTCGACTGTTTTTTAGCATCATTACTCCAGTCTTCAGTGTCACATGATCCTTCAGGAATCATTCTGATATGCTGATTTGCTGCTCAAGAAACATTTCTGATTATGATCAGTGTCAACCGCTCAATGTTTTTGTGGAATCTGTGATACTTTTTTCCTCAGGATTCTCTAAATAGAATATTCAAAAAACAGCATTTTGAAAATAGAAATATTTTGTAAGATTATAAATGTCTCTATCATGATTTTTGAGCAGTTTAATTAATTCTTGATGAATAACACGGTGCATGACCACTCACATTTACTTTGATAAGACGTCATTTTTTGATACTCATCACATTTTTTTTGTTAGTTATTTTATTGCCTTTTCATTGCCAAAGAAATCAGTCTTAGATGTTTTTGTTGTTTTGAAAATCATAGAGGATCTCTCACTAGTGAACTGACAACATAAAAATATGCCTTTATTAAAAATGTCAGAGGTTTTTCTTTAGAGTAGAGATTCAAAACACATATTAGTTATTGGCCTTTTTTTATACTATCATCAATGTTGGATATTTAATATACTTAATTATTTAATTTAATTCTAAAAGTCATTGGGAATTGGATTAGGTCATGTAAAGTGGGCATGGATTTAGAAGCTTGGATTTAGTTCACATTTATTTTTTCATTCATCTATCTTTCTCTGTCTCAGATGAAGAAGAGGCGAACTGTATATTGTGCGACAGCCCCGGGGATCTCCTGGACCAGCTTTTTTGCACCAGCTGTGGGCTACGCTATCACGGCATGTGTCTGGACATCAGCGTCACTCCTCTGAAGAGGGCAGGCTGGCAGTGCCCCGAGTGCAAAGTCTGTCAGACATGCAAGTGAGTTGCAGCCAAGCTTTGCCTTTTATTCTCCTTCCTTTTGTTACTCATTCCTCAATAGCTCATCCGTATTTGCTCATGCATCCTTTGAGGTTGCAAGAGTTTGCTTTTCAGGCCATGTCCACACGTACACGGGTATTTTTATAAACTGAGTTTTTCCTTCTTCCGTTTTTAAGGGGATACACTGCAGGCAAAAACACAGTTTTTTTCATGCGCCTGTCAATTTTGAGATTTTGGGCTTTTTGGTTTTTCATAAAGTGTTTTTTCAGAGCGTTTTCAAAAATGTTCGGTTTCAGTGAACTGGTGCTGTGTTTGCGTGTAGACGAGCAGCCTAACCGTGTAGAAAAAGCTGCGGTTTTAAAAATAACTGCGTTTGTGTGGACAGGGCCTCAGTGGAATAAACAGACACCTGCTCGTGACTCGTGGGCTTAATGGATAGTCATGAATTAGACACATTCAGTTATATGTTGTATACAAATCTATGCGGTAACATACAGTGTTAAAAAACTGCAGCTGTGGTTTCTGGAACTTTACTGTATACAGTAGCAACATTTAAGGTTTTATGGAATTAACTCAAATTTACAGTAAAAACCTATATTTCATTCACTGATATAATGTTAATAAACCAACCTGTTGAAGTACTAAAATCTCTTTTGTACCTTTATAATACACACCATCAACCATCACAAACACACATGGTTCTTAGAGCCACATGATGAATCAAAGCTCATCACATGTAGCTTTTTCAAAAACTGAGGTAAATACAAATATATAACAGATACACACAGTGTCATACACACAAATCCTAAACACCACCATGGTAACACATATAACACTAAAATAATGCAATAAACATGAATTTAATGACATACGGTGTAACATAAACCATAATGTACATAACTGATAAAACACTAAGAAACCTTTACTTCAATGAAAAAACATCAAATGTAAAGTGTCACACAGGGAATTCTGGGAATGAGAATCAGAATAACTATAAATCAGAATAATTTAAGAGAATTAAACTAAAATTACATGAAATGTCCTATTAGATTGGCTAGTTTTCCACCATATATAGTAAGGGAACTTACTGTTAACCAATGAACAGGTTTTTAACCACAACATATTTTTGTCCATTAAAATTACAATCATTTTTTACTGTGTTGGAATGTATTCATGAAAAAAAAAATGATGCACTGGTAGTACGGGATCAATTTTCCACCTAAAGTGGTCATGGAATAATAAGCATGAAACCAAAATTGAAGTAAGCAAGTAAAAATATATTGCACAAAATGTGAAAATTAAAGCAAAGTTTTCAGAATAGTAAACAATGGTCACAGATCGAAAAATAATAAATAAAAAATGTAAAAACGCATTTAAAAAAATAAGCATGAATCAAAACTTTAAACATATTAGCATACAAAAAAAACAGCATAAGCATACAAAAAAAAAATTAGCAGAAAATGTCTGAGAGCACAAAAAACAGAAAAATATAACCAAGGAAAACATGTTTTTATGTGCAAGTCGGATAATTTGTGTTAATATTTCAGTTTTGTGCAATATGACTTTAAATATGTTTAAAGTGTTGATTCGTGCTTATTATTTTTTTAAACGTGTTATTACATTTTTGATTTACGCTTATTATTTTTCGATCCGTGACCATTGTTTGCTCTTCTGAAAACTTTGCTTCATTTTTACATTTTGTGCAATATATTTTTACTTGCTTTTTTAAATTTTGGTTTCACTCTTATTATTTTTTGATCTGTGACTGCAATACTTTTGGTGGAAAATTGATCCCATATGGTAGAATTAGTTAGATTGATTGTGTCCTTGTATCTTTCAGGGAGCCTGGAGAAGATACTAAAATGCTAGTGTGCGATATGTGCGACAAAGGCTATCACACTTTCTGCTTGCAGCCGGCTATGGACTCTATCCCCATCAACGGCTGGAGGTGTAAGGTAAGGGCGGCTTTGAGACGTTATTATCTCAAAATTATCTCCCATTTCTTTAATGCAGTATAGCTAATCGTAGCTGTGTGTTTGTAGAACTGCCGGATGTGTGTTCAGTGTGGCACCCGGAGAAGTGAACAATGGCACCACAACAGCCTTTTGTGCCAAAACTGTGGTGATCAACAGGACACCACCGTCCCCTGCTTATGTCCCAGCGACGTAGATCCCGACGTCCACAAAGTCCTGCTTTCTTGCCATCAATGCAAAAGGTATATTTCCTTCACAAATCTGTAATCTAGTTCAGTAGCAGTTACATGTCCAAAAAGTCTGTCTGGAACCTAATTTTGGATGCAGTGAAAGGGTGAATCGTCAGCTGCCTCTTTTTCTTTAGGTGGTTCCACCCAGAGTGTGAACAACCAGGTGAAGGTCACGCACATCCACAGTCCAAAGATGATCACATATGTTCCATCTGTAGAAACGCCGGCTCTGAATCAGATCCTGTGCGCACGGATGCAGAAGGGATGCAGGCGGAGATTCAATCACATGTGGATGTTGAAGAAAACGCACAGCCAGTTCCAAAAAACAACGATTCTGAGCCTGCCAAAGTTCAAGACGCAGAACCTCATCAGCCTGTCAGCGAGAGGCAGAGTGAAGAGCAGCAAACAGATGAAAAACAAATGACGGGTAAGACCAACTTCAGTGTCTGAATGCAAACGCTAACAAAGTTATCGTTGGATTGTTCTTGAAAGAAGTGGGACTTAAGTAGTTTTTGTTACACTCTCAGGAAAAAAATGGTACAAAATCTGTCATCAGGCGTTACCCTTTCCAAGGGTACACCTTTGTACCTTATTTAGCCCTAAAGCAGGGGTGTCCAATCCAGCTCCTAGATGGCCACTTTCCTGCAGAGTTGAGCTCCAACACACCTGCCTGGAAGTTTCTAGTGATCCTGAAGACCTTGATTTGCTGGTTCAGGTGTTTATTTGGGTCTAGATCAAAATGTTGCTGGAAGTTGGCCCTCCAGGAACAGGATTGGACACCCCTGCATATTAATACCTTAAAGATATGTATTATTACCTAAAGTGTACATATCAGTACCTTTTAAAAGGGTACTGCTCCTATGACAGCTTTTTTCCTGATTGACTGCTTTCTTACCTGTTTTTGCAGCTTCCCAACAAATCTAGTTAGCCTTAGAATGAATCATCTTTGTAAAGGGATTTTATTGGATTGGTTTCTGACAGATATTTGTGGTTATCAAATGCAATCTTTTAAGTTTTTATTTGATTTTAGTGTCTTATTATCTTGGTTTTGGGTTTGGTGTCTTTACCGTTCATTACTTTCATAGTGGTCCAATAACTGAGTTCAGCCCGCAGTCTTTGAAACATGAGTACGGAGGCTGCTCTCTGAAGCACCCCAGTCCTTCAGGCCAAAATATTGCTGAAGTGGAAGAGTAGGCCAAAGCATCCCATAGGCCCACATGCCTGTCTTGATTAGTTTGGACTGGTCTTGAGGAAAGGGGTATTTGAAACATGGCCTACTTTGCCTGGGGAAGACAAAAAGTCTCCGAAAGTGTTGCTTATGTGATGTTTTCTGTTTATGTGCTGTCAAATATCTGGTGATTCATTAAAATAGTTCCTGTCATCTTTTCCTCACCCTTATGCCATTCCAAACCCGTATGACTTTCTGTCTTCCGTGGAGCACAATTAAATTTTCCACTTGAAGACTGAAGAACATCTCACTTTGCAGATCTGCAGGAAGTTTGACATTCCTGCCAATCTCCTCCATGTGTAATAACCATCACAGCTTTGCGTTCAACCAGCTTTGGGTGTGCGGTGCATTAACACCCCGCTGTCACTGTACAAATGTTCAGCACAGTGTCAGTAACTCAATTCCTCAAACTTTAGGGGAACAGCTGCCCACAGGCCTTTTACAGCATTATTCGTCCTGGTGCAAATCTCTAGGTGCAGAGGTGAGAGATGTGGCCTCATCCCACTCTGGGTTCATGGTTATTTAGGGTGCCACAGGGCCCTGAACATGTGTGCTTGTGTTACAATGTCTGCTGTCGCTGTGAGTCGAAAAGGATCAACAGAGAAGAAATAGATCAGACGTATAAAGACTTGGTCCAAACTAGGGATGTCAACGATTAATCGACGATCGATTAATTGTCGATAAGACATGCAATCGATTAAAGCTATCGATGATCGATTAAGTCGTTTAATTTGGGGCTGCGTGCGGCTCATGCGCAAAACACGTGCGAGCAGCTGTGAGTGACGGTATATAAATGCATCATCATTCATTCATAATGTACAAATTAAGCTTTTAATGTGATTTAAACTTTAAAAGTACATTTAAATTGAAACAACACAAAGTTCTTCAACATGGAAAGCAATAGAAATGTAGTAACTAAGTCATTTCCCCAGATAATTCTTTCATATCGGGCTCTGCGCTTTTGCTGCAGCAGCGCCGATGGAAGCGGTTCACTGACTGCGCAGCACAGCCACACGCGCCACACAGTTACGTTTGGGATCATTTTATTTTAAATGCCATAATGGCAGTTGAAAACATTGCAACTGTGTTTTAAAATACAACAACGAGCACCACGAAACCATTTAAAGAGGCGCGTTCAGCGATCTCCGTGACGGGATAGGAAACAGTCAACGAAGTAAAATGATCTCAAACGAGCTCTCTTCATTTTATCAAATGATCATAATCACATCTATTCATTTTACAATCCTGCTACTAGCATTTTATTCAGACTAAATCCCCTTTAAATCGGGTGAGAAAGCGGGTTTTTTTTTTGAGTAACTTTTGCACATCCTGTCGTGCCGGGCTGCATAGACGCATTTTGCAGCATTAAGGTTAACGATTAATTGATCGTTAATTTAAATGACGATCGATCATGGAAATGATCGAAAATTGACATCCCTAGTCCAAACCCAAGTTTGATTTCACCCCATGCCCTCGCAGGTCCCTTTTTGTGCATTATTTGGCTTAGAAACGCAGTATGCTTCCATAATCAGCCTCAGTGCCTGCATGAGGACTTGTGGCAGCCTTTTACCACTGTAGGTAAAAAATCAGGATTAAAGGTGCCAGTTATGCCATGCTATTTTAGTATTTCTTTTGTTTTTCTTAAACTTCATATACACGCTAAATGCATTGCAGTTGACATTAAATAAACACCAGACTGCCTTTTCAAATAGCAACGTCTCCAAGACACTTGAAGAAACCTTCCTACAAAGCTACCTGAAAACCTATGCACACGTATACCAAAAACAAAAGCCGTTTTAAATGCAAAGGGTGGTCACACCAAACGTTGATTTGATTTAGTTAAGAGAAGTTAATGGATAAATAAAATCTATCTATGACATTATTTTTGAAAGCAACCTCACTTTACAGCATTTTTACACAAGTGCCTAAAACTTTTCACAGTACTCTAGCTTTGTAGGTGTTTTTGCAAGTGCCTTGAAGACGTTGCCACAGTTGATTTAGTCGGTCTCAGTTTTTTCTGTTTCTTCATGTCATTCCAGATGGACTGGATGATGGTGAGATCAGCAACACTCACTGTTGTGCATACAAAAATCTCACTGGATTATTTACAATTAATGGCAAAAGGAATGTTTGGAAATGTAAACTAATATTTCCTATTATCAATGTCATTATTGCCCAGTCCTACTTTATAATCTAACATGTAGTATGAAAGCTAAATTAGTAAAGAAAGTTATTGAACTATTTATTTATTTTCATTATGTGGCAACAGGTGGTGATGTGGATGGCAGCTGGATGAAGGTGATGCCTTTGCAGCAACTAGGTTTTCAGAAAGACTTCAAGGCTTCTGCTCATTGGTCTTTGACCCTCACATTGATTTTAGAGAGGCTTGTTTACGGCACCTCTCACCAGAGAGTTAACCTTATTCACCTCTGGAGATGATGCCCACTTGGTCCAATGTGGCTGGCCATTCTCTCTAGCTTTACTCTCTCTCTCTCTGTCATTCTCCATTACATTACATTGAATTATGTTACAAGTCACAGTCTAACAGTGTTCACCCATCAGAGAAAGACCCCATATGTGTCTGATATTATTTTGAGAATATGTGCTTATCGGACCATAGATCTTTTGACGGGACCTTGTACCGGAGGTTACCATGGCGACTTCACATTTTAAATGGGTCTGAGACGCAGCGGGTGATCAGATGTGACTGGAGACCAGCAAGTGCAAGCGGTTTATGAAAACACACTCTGTCTTTCACAACTCAAAACATCCTTCTGTCCAAAACTATTTATTGAAATTAAAATAACTCGTTAATCAGTAAAAATCTTAATATTGGGACATCTTTAGTTTTTTTTTTTTATTATAAAAAAGAAAAAATTATGGATGGAATTAATATAAGCAACAATAATTCTGGGGTAAAAATTATTGGTATTATTATTAAATAAAACTAAAACTAAACATTTCTGTTCATTAAAATAAAGCTGAAATAAAATATAGATATTAGATGAAAAACGTATAGATAGTTCACCAAAAAAATGAAAAATCTGTCATCATTTATTCAACCCATGTTGTTCCAAACCTTTCTGTTTAACGTAAAAGAAGATATTTTGAAGAATGTTGCGAAGCAAACAGTTGTTGGTCCCCAATAACTTCCATAGTAAGGAAAAAACATACTATGGAAGTCAATGGCTACCAGCAACTGTTTGGTCCCAACATTCATCAAAATATCTGCTTTTGTGTTCTGCAGAAGAAAGAAATTAATGATAATAAGAGTTTTCATTTTTGGGTGAACTATCCCTTTAAACAAACATGTAAACAAACAAACAAACAAATGTTGTCTTGGCAACTAACTGAAGTTTAAGTAGAAGCACTAAAATGACTAACTGAAAATAACTGCTATAAGAATTAAATAAACCTATATAGTAATATTTAGTTGGCAGATATGACATTTTTTACCATGTAAATAAATTCAAAATAAATCACCAAAAAATAAAATCAGTTGGATTAATGCAAGTGAATTTAGGCATCACAACGTTATAATGTACGGTATGAAAAATGGATATTCATTTTGAGATTTGCTGAGGATTACATTTAAGTTTTTTTTTTGTGTTTTTCAAGAGTAAATTTAATTGTTGGATGACATCATACTAAATGTAAAACTAAGGTAAACTAAATGAAAAATAGAGGAAATGAGTATGAGCAATATCTGATAATCTATGATACCAATAAATAAAAATTTAATCTATAACGAAAATGAATATGGTACCAATATATTGTGCATCCTTAATAACATAAACATTGTCTTCAGAAACATTTTTTTGTTATGCTGGTTGAAAGTCTCTTCACATCCCGATAGCAATCATTAACTTAAGTGGTCTAAATGTATTTATATGTATTTATATATTCTGTGGAAGGCGTAGGACCAAGAAATGTTCGTCCAAACAAAATGTTCAGTCCGAACTGTACTATAAAGATTTCTCACCGGTGAATGGCGCATGATGTATTGTAGTAATGTTGTCTCTGGTCGTCTGGACTGTGCGCGTTCATGCGTTCAGGGGGCGTGGCTTTGGACGGCGATTTGTAGGGAGGGTGGGCCAAAGGCTAAAGATGGCATTTTCCAAGATGTCCTACTGCACCTTTAAAGTCCCCATGAAATCAAAATTCAAGTTTTTTGGGTGTTAGTATCAATATGTTAGTCTTAAAGTTATCTATAAGGCAGTGTGCTCCAAAACAGTGACAAAATTTGCATTTATAAGATATAAGCATTCAAAGCTTGCAGTTCATCACTTCCGCCAAAATGGCTCAACAATTTTTTTGACGTCACGTCGTACTTCATCTCATCAAATCTTCTGACCAATCAAATGCTCTCTAGAATCAGAAGCGCCGGCCCCCTGCACTATAAATAGACGCTGAAGCGGCTGAGATTGGTCACTTGTTCACAGTGTAGTATTTCCTGTACAGTGAATGGCTCGAAGTGCACAATGTAGGTGATAGGGAACGATTCAGACAGTGTAAATATGCTTTCGATTGGTGCAAATGAGGTCTGGTTTCACATAGTTTCACGCAAACCGTGGCAGCGCACACAGTCTGATCCGGACATTGGCTCCGATCCAA